CTTTTGAATACCAAAACAAAACACAAATGTAAGACTCAAAAATCCCTCAATGATGACAAAAGGGCAGAAAATTCCTCATAGCCAAATTTCATCATGAAAATCCTATAACATATATGATTATAATTCCAAATATGGCTATCCGTAAATCCCCTCTGACTAAAGAGATAAATAACTGAAGGAGAAATAATGCAGAATAATTCCAAATAACATATACAGATATTCTGCCCTCAAGGAGGCAGAGCATTAACTCCCTTGGGCTATATCCCCCCAGAAGAATACAGAGTGGAATAAAGCAAAAATGAATAACTTTACAACTGAAAAACAAGACAAACTCCACCTCAGCCAGTGATTAAAGTTAACTTAAACACTTGTAAGTCATAGTGATATTATACAGCTCAAACATGACATGACGAAATTTCAATTTACCTATGATTTTCCCCTTAAAAATGCCTAACCTTAGATTAATCATGAGAAAAACAACAGATGATCTCAAATAAGGAACATTCTACAAAATACCTAATCAGCACTGCTTAAAATTATGAAAAGTAAGGGGAATCTAAGAGAATGGCAACAGCCAAGAAGAGCATAAATAAACATGATAATAAAATGTAATTAGTTATCCCAGATGGGATTCTGGAACAGGAAAAAGAACAATATGCAAAAATAAAGGAAATATAAGCAGAGGCTTTAATTAATAATTTATCAATATTGCTTTATAATATTGTGAGTGAACTCTCCTAATGTTAAGAGGCTAATGAGGGAAAATGAGTATGTACTTTATAAAAACTACAAAACCTGACCATATGTTTAGGAAATAAAAGTATTACCATACTTATTAATTAAAAGATGCACCTAGATAAAGTCACTAAGAGACTATTGTGGTAAGGCTGTATTTTCAATCAACAAAGTTAAAATTCATAACTCATATGATTTACCAAAAATTATTAACCCTTTTAAAATTTTAGGTATCATCTCATAACTTATGTTATCTTTTAGCCCACTTATATAAATTCTCAAGAATACATTCTATTCCATCAATCCTGGCAACTTATTTTCAGAAAAATCTTAACATATTCTATGTCTCCTATTCTAAATAAGCTAGCCAGTAGCCAGTAGTTTTATAGTGATGGATATTGAAAACTTCAGTTTTGATAAGCCTTGCAACCAATTTTAAGTTTTAAACAACCTTCCACTTCCTAAAAATACTCTCTTTTACCTCTATTTTAGTTTGCTACAAGCTAACATCCCCACTTTTGTTAAAGGTATCCCAATGAAGGCTGGGGTTGTGGCTCAGTGGTAGTGCTCCCCAGGCATGTGTGAGGCACTGGGTTCAATTCTCAGCACCATATATAAATAAATAAAACAAAGATCCATTGACAACTAAAATAATATTAAAAAAAAAAAAAAAAAAAGCAACCCAATGGGAGAAAAACAAGTATCCCTCTCAAACAAGTAACTCTCTCAAAAACACACATTAGCTTACGGGCTAAGAACAGATTAAATACACATAATACTTCTTAAATATTAAAATGATTACAAAACATCAACAATGTATTTGTAATGTGCAATTCTGAAAAAAAGAAAACCATCAAAATCAAGTTAAATGTAAGTATTACTAAAACAACCTCATTGAATTTTGATCTTTTAAAAAGCATAAGTAAAAAAGAGAAAAAGAAATAAAACAAGAAAATTAAAAAGAAATTGAGGAAGGTGCTATATATATATAGTTATTTGTTCTTTCACCTCAAAATCTTTCTTTATCTTTTCCAAATAAGGAATTTAAAACACATTGGGAATATTTTGGCCACAGGACATAAAATTTCAGAGATAAGAATAAATTCAAGAAATCTATACAACATGGTGACTAATATGGTAATAACAATTATTATTTTCTTGAAAATTGCTAAGAAAGTAGATTTTAAGTGTTCTCAAACTCACCACATAAAAAATTGATACATACATGGTAATGTAAATGTTAATTACTTTGTTTTAGCAATTTCACAAATATACATTACCAAAATCTTTCCAGAAAACAATTTGATATTATGCATTAAAAAGCTTATACAAATATTAGACATAATGCCAATAATACTTGAAGATACGAAAATAATTACGGATATGGGAAAAACTTAGCAAGGTATGTCAATACAGTAATCTTAACAGTACACACATATACAAAAAAATGCACAATAATATTTTGCATAATAGAATGATAAACAGGAATTATGTTTTAAAATGTTAATGTAGACTCTAAACATAAAGATTTAGATATAAAAATATCAGTATGCTCCTATGTCTTTTAAAAAAAAACATAAAATAGTAGCAGAAACAAAGTAAACTCCAATTTTTAATTTTGAAAATTTTTATACTGCAGAATAGTCTAGTAGGATTTTTATCAAAATGTTTGCTTCTCTGGCTGGGGTTGTAGCTCAGTGGTAGAGCACTTGCCTAGCATGTGTGAGAGGCACTAAGTTCAATTCTCAGCACCAGATATGAATAAATAAAATAAAGGTCCATCAAAAACTAAAAACAATTCTTTTCAATGCTTGCTTCTCTTTAGTAAAGGGCCACTGAAGCTTTCATATTACATTTCTCAAGTATTGGCATGCATGCGGCCCAGGTTCGATCCTTAGCACCACATACAAACAAAGATGTTGTGTCCGCCAAAAACTAAAAAATATTAAAAAAAACCCAAAAAACAGTTACAATGCTCAATGAAGGAAATCCATATAGACTACCATCCTTCATGTTCATCATTCTTCATTTTCCTGTTATTACTAAATTATAGCAAATACTAAAAAATCATTCCTCATCAAAAGAAATACAGGATTAAATTCCCATTAAACCTCAGCTATAAAAATTTCATTACCAGATTAATACATAATCTTGTCTTATGTGGTTTGTTTAAAATTATCTTACTAATATAAATTTTACATACATATATATATAATGTTGACTCATTATCACGGAACTCTCTTGGCCAACAGCATTATAACTAATAAAATTTGATATTATAAGTAATATAGAATAATATATTACTTATAACATACATATATATATCCATAAGGCACACCCTCTTTTGTTTTTTGTTTTGTTTTCCATTTCTTCTTTCTTTTTGGCTGTTCTTGGGAACTGTGATGGAAATATTAAGTTTCGTTTTTTCCTTATGTAGTACTGGTAATGGAACCCAGGGGGTTAAGCATGCTAAATAAGCACTCAACCACAGAGCTACAACCTTAGCCTCCAACTCTAATCCACTTTTAATAGTCCACTCTTCTTCCCACTAACCATATTTGCTGAAGTGTCATAATGTTACCAACAAAATGTTTATTTCCATCAAAAACTTATAAAATATTAAGCCAGACACTGTGGCACAACCTATAAACCAAGTGGCTGGGGAGGTTGAGGCAGGAGGATAACAAGTTCAAAGCCAGCAACTCAGTAAGCCCCAGTCTCTAAATAATATACAAAAGAGTGCTGGGGGTGTAGCTCAGTGGTTGAGCGTCCCTAGGTTTAATCCCTAGTATCAAAAAAAGTTATAAAATATTTTTGCTTGTAAGACAGTTTTGTATGTTTGTTTACTAGGAATATTGCTATGAAGGAACAAATGTTTGAAGTGGTTTTTAGCTTCTTAAATGAACAATGGATCAGGCACCATGATACACATCTTAGTCCCAGCTACTCAGGAGGCTGAGAAGGCAAGATCACAAGCTTAAGGCCAATATAGGTAACATAGGGAGATCCTGTCTCCAAAAAAAAAAAAAAAAAAAAGAGCCCGGGACAGAGCTCAGAGATAGTATATAGTTCCCTAGCATGCAACTACTGAACCTGAGTTCAATCACCAGTATACACATACAAACATATCATCTGATACTATAAATAAAAGACCTTAAATAATTATTTCAAGGTATGTATTTTCACCTATTTCTAAAAAACAAATGTGTTTTATGTAAAATCCAAGCTCAGAAGAAATTATAAATCCCTATTAGTCTATAATAATGATTATGATACAAACTTTTAAATTTTTCTAAATTTTTGAGAGGGGCATACTGAGGAGAGCACTTGGCCAGTGAGCCACATCCCCCGCCCTATTTTATATTTTACTTAGAGACAGGGTCTCACTGAGTAGCAGCACCTCGCTTTTACTGAGAGGAGCTTTGAACTTTCGATCCTTCTGCTTCAGCCTAGCCACTGGAATTACAGGCAGCTGGAATTATGGGCATGTGCCACTATGCCCAGATAAAATGGAAAAAACATTTTTTTAATATTCTTTAGTTGTTGATGTACCTTTATTATTTATTTATATGTGGTGCTGAGGAGCGAACTCAGTTCCTCACATAATGCCAGGCAAGTGCTCTGCCACTGAGCCATAGCCCCAGCCCCCAAATGGAAATTTTTTTAAAGTCAATCTACATTTGTTTTGTGTAGGTGTGTGATGCTAGGAACTGAACCCAGGGCCTTGTGCATGCAAGGCAAGCACTCTACCAACTGAGGTGTACCATCAGCTGCCCAAAATTTCTACATTTGCACACACAGACAAAAATATTGAGGGCTGGGGATGTGGCTCAAGTGGTAGCCACCTGTCTCACATGTCTGAGGCACTGGATTCGATTCTCAGCACCACATAAAAATAAAATAAAAATATTATGTCCACCTACAACTAAAGAATAAATAATAAAAAATATATATTGAATTTGTTCTCTTTCTACTATGATAAAAGAACATAAATTTTCACAAGGACAAACAAAGAGCAACAGACACGTAGGATATTATGTATATTTTGCTGAATCATCAGGTTTGTTAAATAATTACATTGAGGTACAAAAAAATTCACATTTCCATCTACTCTTTTTTCTCATTGCTTATTAAGTTATGAGCTACTTAGAAGAGAGTAAGAAGACAGTAGGAAGTGGCCTTGGTTAAAAAAAACAAAACCATTACAATTACATGATGCAAACATAAATCAAGCAAAAAAATGGAAGATAAAAAAATATCATTACCTTTTGAATAATCTTCCAATAAGAGGTTGAAGTGACCTAATTGACAAAAGAAATCAGACTCCACTTTTCCTTCAGCTTTTAATATTAAAGATTCGTAGCAGTGAACAGCCTAGAAATGAAAAATATAAACATTTTTAAAACAATAAAACCCTAGATAGCATTTCCTTCCTGAAAGAAAGCATACATGTTACAATTACTAAAGAAATCAAACTCAATCAATAAATGTCATTTTCTATCAAAAACATGGGATGAAGTAACACATTACTCTTAAATAAAACAGCTTTTCCGGTATTAATGGAGCCAGAAGTCATGATGTAAGTGACTTCCCATCTAAACAAAGAACTGCCCAATAAAACAGTCTAGAAACACCTTAATAACTTTTTATAAATGTAGCAAATCTAAATTGTTACTTAAGTCCTTGTCCATACAGCAAAACTACTTTCAGATACTGAAAGAACTTTACTAAAAACTCAGTAGACACTAGCTATATGTAATATTTGAATATTTGAAATATGGTGACTCAAATTGAGATGAGCTGTAAATGAAATGTCATACAAATATTCCAAAGATTTCATATAAAAAACTCAATAATTTGATGATCATAGTAAAATATTTATAAAATTTTAAATTACAAATATAACTCACATTTGTGATTTGCAATGCACTGTTCTCAGAGTTGCTATGGACTAATAGCAACTACCATTTGTATTCATCAGCTATAATTTGTCAGAAACTATATCACCTTCTAGAATAACATAAATCTTTGTTTTAAAACATACCTTTCTCTTCATTTATTTCAAGCTCTAACACTACATGCCCCCATACATATAGGTACAGTCTCATACTTTTTTTTTTTTTTTAAACAGAGAAAAGTAACTCCTAAAGAACCACATGTAGGGCTGGGGATGTGGCTCAAGAGATAGCGCACTCGTCTGGCATGCATACGGGCCCAGGTTCGATCCTCAGCACCACATACAAGAAACAAAGATGTTGTGTCCGCTGAAAACTAAAAAAAAAATATTAAAAAATTCTCTCTATATTTAAAAAAAAAAAAGTCTGAAGAACCACATGTTCAGGCTGGGGATATAGCTCAGTTGGTAGAGTGCTTGCTTCACATGCACAAAGCCCTGGGTTTGATCTCCAACGCAACAAAAGAAAAAAATTAAACATAAGTTTTATCTTCAAAGGGACTACTAATATGGGAAATGCATGATTTCTTAGATCTAAGAACACTTTAAGGAAGACTCCCAGCTGTGATGCCTCTAAAAAACCATCTAAGATAAACTATCCCATAAAGGAACAAAGATAATATCCTATTACTATCCAAATATTTTATCTTACCCAGAAGAGTCTGTTGAGATAACAGGTTGTTAGAGTTCTCATATAAAATGCCTTCATTTTTTCCTCCTTTGAATAAAAAAGACACTTCAAACAAAAAGCTTGTAAGTACCTAATTCAATATATAATTCCTCAATAAGTTTAAAGACCCTCTCTAGTCCTGGAAAACTCAACCATCCGTAAGAGTAAAATTTAAATTTAAAAAAGAACTGAGCGGAGCTGGAGTTATAGCTCAGTAGTAGTTTGCTTGCCTGTGAGGCACTGGGCTTGATCCTCAGCATCCCATAAAAATAAACAAATAAATAAAGGTATTGTGTCCATCCAGAACTTAAAAAAAAAAAAAAAGATAAATATGCAATGTGGGTCTGGAGTCCTAGCATCTCATGAAGATAAAGTAGGGGGATAACTTGAGTCAAAGAGTTTAAAAATCAGCTTGCACAACATTAGAGTCTCCCATTTCAAAAATTTAAATTCAGTTAGCAGTTTTCAGTCTCTTCTACTCTATCTACCTGGAGAACATATTTAGTACCAAATCACCATAACTAAAAATAATTAAAAGGCTGAATTTACTTTTAAATAATTTAGACATATATAATAAGTGTTTGTTTTGTTTTTTGACAAATAAAATTTATTATGGTTGTTCTAGCAAATTGAACATATTCTTAAGACTATATTAATCCATTTTGGCTCTATCCAGTCCTAGGGGAAGGCCTCAGAAATAAATGTGACAATGAAATTTCACTTGCTTCATACTCTAAGCAACTTTCTCTTTTCTCAAATCACCACAATAATGCATTATTTACTAACAAGATCATGACAAATTCCTCAGATATATCAGAAATAAAAATAAAAACTACTTTCAAGTAATCAAGTTTTTCTTATCAGTCTTGGGTTATTAAAGAGTACTAATTCCAATCCCTCTTTCCAGAACTCTAGAAGCATATTTACAGGTACTGAGAAAAATAATAACAAATAACAAAAACTAAAAACAATGCAAGTTTTTTTCTTTGTAAGATGAAGAACAGTTAAGGGATCAGTTAAGAAACTAATGCAAGCCAGGCCCAGATGTCCACACTAGTAACTCCAGTGACTCAGGAGGCTGAGGCAGGAGGATCTGAGTTGAAAGCCAGCCTCAGTAACAGGGAGATGCTAGCAACTCAGTGAGACTCTGTCTCTAAATAAAATACAAAATAGGGCTGGGGATGTGGCTCAATGGTCAGTTTAATCCCCAGTACCAAAAACAAAAAACAAAAATTATTGCAAGATAGGCACAATGGTATAATGCTATAATCCTGTTAACTCAGCAAGCTGAGATGAGGATCACACATTGGAAGCTAGCCTCAGCAACTTGGCAAGATCCTAAACAATTTAGCAAGAACATGTCTCAAAAAGTAAGAACAAAGAGGGAGCTGTTTGAGGATACAGCTCAAAGGTAAACTGCCCCTGGGTTAAATCCCCAGTACCAAAAAATAATAATAATAATTTTAAAAAGTGTTGGGAATATAGCTCAGTGGTTCTGGGTTGATCCACAGCAGCACAAAAAGCAAACAAAAAACTAATACTGAATAATGGGGGGGGGGGGATTAATAATATACAGCAAAAGCACATAAGGGACTCTTCTAATCTTTAAAAAAAAGTTCAACTGTGCTTACACTAGAAAAGCAAATCCCAAAAGGCAAGCAATGACTTGTTTCTAATAACAAAACTAATAGCAATAAGAAGTAAATATGACACTCTCATCTGTTCTTTCATTTTTTTAAATATTGATTTTTTTTTTTATTTGTAGTTGGGCACAGTATTTTTATTTATTTATTTTTAATGTGGTGCTAAGGACCAAACCTAGGGCCTCGCATGTGCTAGGCGAGTGTTCTACCACTGAGCCACAACCCCAGCCCTCTTATCTATTTTTACTGAGGATGATGTAGGACTGATGAGGCTGGACACACAGAATTAGCAGGAAGTAGGTTTATGAGCTGTAGGGCTCAAGAGCGACTATCACCTAAAAATTTCTGGACCATAAGTCTGGGAATTCTTTGAACTTTATACCCAGTGGGAGAAGGAATTTAAAAGTTCACTGAAATTTAAAAAAGGGCTTTTTTATTCCAATTTTTTAGAATAAACAGAGGTTTCAAAAGTCTTTACCACAGAAAGCAGAAGTAACAATTCTTGTACGAAAATTTAGCTTTTGCGAGCCAGAGTAAACACAGAGCCCCCACAAATAGTAAATTCCAAATCATAATGAGTTCTTTGCAGAAATTTTTGCTGATATTCTGTTAATAAGAATAAATATGGGGAGGATTTCTGAAGAAACTTAATTAAGATTGGTGGGTGGAGGATGGGGCATCACTAAAGGATACAAACTGATATAAACATGAAATACAAATGAACCTATCTCTGTTCCATTACTGCATTCCTAAAAATATTTCTATGTGCCAAATTCTATATAAGAAAATTGTTAAAAGAAAAATATAAAAACTAAGATTTCTCAAACACTATTTAAACTGACATAAAAAAGGAATACTAAGCGACTGGGGTTTTGGCTCAGGAACACATCATTTGCCTCCTACATGTGAGACATTGGGTTCGGTCCTTAGCACCAATAAATACATAAATAAACGAAATAAACAAAATAAAGATATCGGGTTCATCTATAACAAAAAAAAATTTTTTTTAAAGAATACTATATAGGGACTGGGGTTGTAGCTCAGTGGTAGATCACTTGCCTTGCATGCATGAGGCACTGAGTTCGAATCTCAGGACCACATAAAAAATAAATAAATAAAGATATTGTGACTATCTACAACTAAAAAATATTTTTTTAAAAAAAAGAATACTGGGACTGGGGATGTGACTCAAGCAGTAGCGCGCTTGTCTAGCATATGCGGGGCACTGGGTTCGATCCTCAGCACCACATAAAATAAAATAAAGATGTTATGTCCACCAAAACTGAAAAATAAATACTTTAAAAAAATTTTTAAAAAGAATACTTTATAATCTTTAAGAACATGGAATCAATCTCTAAGCATTAAGAAAGTTTTCTAAGACACTAAGAAAAAAGTGAATATGATTTTATACTAATTTTATACCTTTAAAAATCTCTTTTAAAAACAAAGGCTAGGGCTGGGGTTGTGGCTCAGTGGGAGAGTGCTCGCCTAACATGTGTGAGGCCCTGGGTTCGATCCTCAGCACCACATAAAGATAAATAAATAAAGATATTGTGTCCATCTACAACTAAAAAATATTTAAAAAAAAAAAAAAAAAAAAAAAAAACAAAGGCTAAGGGTTGGGGTTGTGGCTCGGTGGTACAGCATGTGCCTAGCATATGAGGCACTGGGTTCAATTCTCAGCACCACAGATAAATAAATAAAGTAAAACAACTAACAAATAAAATTAAACAAACAAAAGCCAAGATGGGCACTGTGGCACACACCTGTAATCCCAGATACTTTGGAGGCTGAAGTAGGAGGATTGTACATTCAAAGCCAGTCCCACCAAGTTAGTGAGGCCCTAAGCAAGTCAGTGAGATCCTATTCTGAATAAAATACAAAACAGGGCTGGGGCTGTGAGATCCTGATTTCAATCAGCAGTGCCCCCCACCCCCAGCAAGTAAATAAATAAATAAATGGCTAGCGAGGCCAGGAGGTGCCCACCTGTAATGCAGCAGCTCAAGAGGCTAAGGCAGGAGGATTTTGAGTTCAAAGCCTGTCTCAGCAATTTAGTGGGGCCCTGAGCAATTCAGCAACACCTTGTCTCAAAATAAAATACAAAAAA